CTGGAGCCTGCTTCGGATTCTGTGTCTCCCTCTCTCTGACCCTCCCCTGTTCATGCTCTGTCTCTCTCTGTCTCAAATATAAATAAACATTAAAAAAAATTTTTTAAAGAAATACACCAAAACTCTATAGACAGTTACACATAAAAAGCTCCAGTGTTGGAGTACCTGGGTGGTTCAATTGGTTAAGTGTCTGACTTTGGCTCAGGTCATGATCTCACGGTTTGTGAGTTCAAGTCCGGCGTCGGGCTTTGTGCTGACAGTTTAGAGCCTGGAGCCTGTTTCAGATTCTGTGTCTCCCTTTCTCTCTGCCCCTCTCCCACTTGCACTCTCTCTCTCTCTCAAAAACAAACATTAAAAAGAATTTTTTTAAAGCTCCAGTGTTATAAACTCATAAAATCACATAATATTAGAGCTAAAATTTATAAAAAGACCCTTTGCTCTTTATACATAAGTAAACTCAGACTCAAAGAAGTAAAATAAATGGCCCCAAATCAGAAAGGCAGTTACAGATCAAAGATTAGAATCAAATTCTACTGAATCATTGGATATATACCAACTGAGAAATTTTTTGAAGCATAAATTTCACTGTAATTTTTAAAACAGTATGCCAATTAAGAAAAAACCGCACAATTATTCACAGATAATGTACTTAGAAAGTAATTCTCAATTATATGACAAATGATAAAAATACACATTTAAGAAATATAACATGAATTAAGTTATACTTTTAATACTAAATTTGTTTATTAGGTAATAATATATACACAAGCTGAAATCTGACCCAACTGGCCAAATTACTTTTGAATTCTTTCACTATTATTTTTATTTCAAAATATATTTATTCACCCCAAACAATAACATAAACAAAATATGAGGTCAATTTTCCCATGTTTTGAAGGGTATAAGTTGACAAAGTATACATGGTAGTTTGTGGGTTTTAAAACTAGGTCTCCTATTTTCTGTTCCAGGGTTTTGATGGCTTCCTGTCTCACATTTAGGGTTTGAGTTTATTTTTGTATATAGTGTAACTAAGTGGTCTAGTGTCATTCTTCTGTATGTTGCTGTCCAGTTCTCCCAGCACCATTTGCTAAAGAGATGGTCTTTTTTTCCATTGGATACTCTTGCCTGCTTTGTCAAAGATTAGTTGGCCATACATTTGTGGGCCCAATTCTGGGTTCTCTATCCTATTCCATTGGTCTCTGTGTTTGTCTTTGTGCCAATACCATACTGTCTTGATGATTACAGCTTTGTAGTAGAGGCTAAAGTCTGAGATTGTGATTCCTCCTGCTTTGGTTTTCTTTTTCAACATTACTTTGGTTATTCAGGGTCTTTTGTGGTCCTATACAAACTTTAGGATTATTTGTTCTAGCTTTGAGAA